TTTAGAGTTTAGGGTTTAGCGATTTAGGGATTTAGGGTTTTAGGGATTTAGGGTTTAGGGTTTAGGGTTTAGGGATTTAGGGGTTTAGGGTTTGGGATTTAGGGTTAAGGGTTGAGAGTTTAGAGTTTAGGTTCAGGGCCTTGGGGCCTCCTTGGGTACCTAGGGATGTACAAGGTTTCCGGTTATGAAGGGATTATATAGGGGTCTAGGGTAAAGGTTGATTGATGGCACAGGTAGCTTTGAAAGAAACACAGTAAGACTCCGGCAAGAAACTCGCCGACATCAAGGGCAACGCAAAACTGCAGGCAAGCGGTTCCATGGTGGAAGGGAGGCCGTGTAAAACTGAGTGAAGAGATTAGAATGCTGAGCACATCAAAGTTTGCGAGCGGGTAGGCTCCACGACGAAAATACAAGTTTTACGAGACCTGAGGATGAACAAAGCTTCGGGTAGACACCGTGGCTTCAGGCAGGATGTGCAGGGTGTGCAAGGGCGGCAAGGCACAAGCCTCAGGGAATAGATTGAAGGTTGAGTCAGGCGAGGAGTTGGGATTCAGGGCTTAAGGGGTATTGGGTGAAGGGTTAAGTCAGGCGAGGAGTAGAGTTTGGGGTTTAGGGCTTAGGGCTGGATATGTGCAACCTTCCAAAGTGAACTGCAGCCAGAAAGCCTTCCAGAGGCACTTGTGGGGACGCTGTGTACCTTGGCACCGCCCAAAATACAAGAGGGGCATATGGTACTAGGAAAGCGAGACCTCATAATCCCAAGCAACCTCTATGTTGTGGTTTCTTCCTTAAGCTGTCTAAGGATGACAGCACGTTACAAACACCTTTGCGGATTTCGCAAGTTGCCTCTGGCGAGCAAGGAAGAAAGGAATGGATCCTGATTGTAGCAAGAATGTAAAAGTTTCAATCTCCTCTGTCATGCCTTTGCTCCCTGCTAACCAGAGGTATTCTAACCCCCTCCCCTAATATTAACCCACCACCCCCACCCCTATATGAAGGGGAGTGGGGGGTTTAGTCACAGAAGGCATCATGGCTCTGGTGTTGGCTCAGAGCAGCAACATCCATACTACATCTGTTCTAGTGTAGTGCCCGTCATGTTGAGGTACCCTGTACTATGATTATGCAAGCACACTAAGACCATGAGAGTGGCGATGATTTAGGCTTCTCTGTATGCATGGCCATCGGGGGGATTTCGAATAAGGGGAACGGTTACATTCCAAATTCTAAGCCCTAAGCTGATTTTTATCTGAGCCGTGTGACAAGATGAACTGCCACTTCCCAGAGGGAGTCTCAGCGCCGATAATCGTATGACCAGCGCCGTAGGTGTTGTAAGGCCCACCTCAGCCATGATTTAGGGTTTCAGGTTGAGGGTGGGGCTTCCATGCAATTTAGGGAAAACCATGTGAGTTTCTAGCGGTGTGATGATTGCTGGCGGGAGCTCGCGCAGAAACAAGTAGCAATATTCTGGCATAGTTCGGCAGCTAAACAGACCTGAAACAGCTTCCCTCACTGAACTCCGGGATCCCTGTTATCAGGACCCCCAATACTTGGAGGTTCATGGGACTTATTAACTATTTATAACTGGGGTTATAACCCTACTTATAATTGGGGTAACCATTTAGGGGGGTTATAAGTAGGGTTATAAGCCCAGTTATAAGTAGTTACTATTTCCCATGAACCTCCAAGTAGTTATGAACAACCCAAAAAACAAGGTCAAATTTGCTGCTCACCCGTGACCGCAAGCAATGCCAAGGTATTGTTCAAAGGTGCCATATGTGTGCTCGTTGTGGGCTTTAGAACTTGGGTTTCAATGCATTTTTGGGGTGTAGGGCTTCATCTTGGCTTAGGATATTCTGTAGGCGTGCGGTTCAAGGCTCAAGAATTTTGTGTGCGGGGCTCTAGTTTAGCATTCAGCAGGATTTCAAGCCGTAGTGGCAACTATTGGCAGTCGTGGATTCAGCTGGGCGACTATCATTGCCTCCCCCATGAGAACAAACTCCATCCGCCTGACGCTAAATATCCCATTGGAGTATACTAGAATATTCTGGGAATCTGTACACTTGATTGGCGTTGGGAGCTCTTTGGAAAAATATCCGTACAAAGGGTGCTTATGAAACCTAGAAGCTAAAATATCTCAACATCCCCATTGCTAACTAAGTGAAATTTGCAGGGTGGAGAAGGTTTTGTTAGTGGAGGGTATTGATATTGCAACATCTCCTGCTCCCGACATAGTTCGCACTTCCCACAACTTGCTACGTAAACCCTAACCCTAAACCCTAAACCCTGAACCCTAAACCCTAAACCCTAAACCCTGAACCCTAAACCCTGAACCCTATGATGCAGACGCAGCGCCTGAGTTAGGTCCGCTGCCTGTCAGTGAGGGGCTCCAGCCCCAGTGCTCCTCGCACTTCATGGCAACCTGGGTTTAGGGTTTAGGGTTGAGGATTTAGGGTTTAGGGTTTAGGGTCTTCGGGTGCAAAAAGTAGCTCAGGGCCAAGGGTTTAGGGTTCAGAGCTTTTGGTTTAGGATTTGGAGTGCCAAGCATGGGTACTTTAGGATATTCGCAAGGACCGTATGTGGTTTGTTAAGGATATTTTCTTCCGATAGATTACACGCCGACAGGTACCGTAGGGAATCGTTCTCGTTGACAAGTTCGGAAAGTTTCTACAGTCCCACGCAGACCCTAAACCCTAACACACGCGCTTTGGGGCAGGCGCTCGCGCGGTACCGCGCCGTTGCTGGCTACAGAGCAATATGGGCATTTGTCAGAGTACTCATTATGTAATCCGTAACAAGGACCCTCATACTCCCCTGATAATCTCCATATATCCCTAGGGCGTCTAGAGACCCCCATTCTGCAAAATGCCAATATCGCAAATTCCTGAATCCTAGACTGAAGCATCAAAGGAACTGCCTTCGTCATCGCCCAAGCTGAGCATGTTAATGGGTTGGGGGCTCAGGGTTTAGGGGTCGTACTGGGGTTGTAATATAGGGATAATAGAAAACAAACGGAAAAAAACTATAGTATAATAGGGTATATATTGGGGGTTATACACTTTCCTCCGGTCAGCAAGGAATGAAGGAATGGACCCTTGCAGTCATCCTAAGATACAGTAACCCCCAACAATAATTAGTTTCTTCTGGTAAGCAGAAGACCAAGGCTTTGTTGAGGAGACCTGCGATGACCTCATGCGGGTTAAAGCTATGAAAGGCCTCATATGAACCGCAGTCCATATTTCTCAGGCAATGTGTGGCAATGGGTTCCTTGTTAGGGAATATGTTAAGGACGATACTACACTACAAGAAGGATCCCTATGTCCACTATAAAGGGTTCCTTAATATGCGTAATACTGCCAACAATTCATCTAAGCCCCAATCCCGAAACCCACCATGGATGGCCGCATATACACCATGAGCAACACCTTGCCAAGTTCCTGGATCAGTTCTTCCTACTACGACGTCTTCATCTGGCTCACTGCTGTATGAAGTAGGGTTGAGGGTTGAGGGTTTAGGGTTTTAAAGGCTAGTAAGGAATGTTTAGTAACGACAATTAACATGATAAACCAGTAAGGAGCCAGTAAGACACGGTAGCTAATCTAAATTCCTGTTCCTAAAATGGCGATGGAAATAAGCCTACAACAAGGACACTTGGATCAACCCCCACATGGCTGGCTCCAGCAAGTGGCACATTCCGCAGACTGCTGCACCTGAGTGTTCTCAAAATCAAAGGGGTCCTGGGAGGCCCCTAATCCACATGGGGAATTATAGAGATTGTATAGGGGGTCTATAAGGTTATGTAGGTATTCTTAGGGCCCAGGGTTTCTTGCATACTCAGGGGTGCCTTTTTGGGGTTCCTTTGATAAGGCTTCTATTATCTTAAAAACCATGTTGGAGTGCGCCTGCTTTGGGAAACTACCATTTAGGCATATCACAGAACACTAGTCTTGACAGCTACAGGATCTCACCTAGTTGTAATTTTGGTTCTCCCAGCCCAGCTAATACTTGGAGGGTCACGGCGACCTAGTAAGGTAGGTTAATTGTTGAAAGGTCACTTTCATGTATCGTAGGGTGGGTGCGTGGAGTCTAGGAATACCACATCGTCATACCAAACCGTCTCCACGGATGTTTGTCTATGTTTATGCTGTTTGTTTGGTGGATTGTTCGGTATTTGGGGTCTAGGGCGTGTAGCTACAAGGACCGACGCAAGAGAAGCCTTTTTTTCGTCGCGCAACGATAGCAGCGAGATGTATCAGTGCGTGCTAAGAGCGAGGGCTTTGCATGCAGTAGATTGTTTAGGGATAACATAGAAAATGGGCTGAAATATCCCTATGTACACCTATATAATCTCCAAATATTCCTCCGAACCCCATATAATCCCTGAATATCCCCGTGGATCCCCCAAGTGTCCTTATATACACCTGCTGGTATAACCCCTAAATATCCCTATATACACCTATCCACCCCCAAAATATCCCTCTATACCCCTATGTAAATGCCGAACCTTCTGTCCCTAAACCCTAAACCCTAAACCCTAAAACCCTAAACCCTAAAACCCTAAACCCTTTTAGATATTAAGAAGCTCGACCAGCCTCCTGCTGGGCGAGGGCGGCGTTCACCCCCGCTGCTGGCATCTTTGCAAAACAGTCCTGGCACCCAACGGGTTTACATGGTTTTGGGGATTTAGGGTCCGGGGTTCGGGGCAGTAGGGTTTTGAGGATTTAGGGTCCGGGTTTGGGGATTCGGGATTTAGGGTTTAGGGTTTGGAGATTTTGGCTCTAGGCTTTTGAAGATTCAGGGTTTTGGGTTTTGAAGATTCAGGGTTGGCGGGTGGGGTTTGGTGGGACCTGTTTCTTCGGGTTAGCTCGGAATGGCATACTAGCGGGGGCGGCTGAAACGGAAAAGTCCACGACTTGGAGGGTCAGGGGGGGGGAAGAAGTAGGTTAGTACTGTGGATAGGTAGGGTCACTCCATGGGTTATAGGGGTTATTAACCTACTTACTAGGTCCCCTGACCCTCCAAGTACGGATTGCCAAAGCCCTGTGCCTGGAGCTACAAGAGCACGAGATCCTTTGATCAGGTACAAGCGCAGCATCCCATCAAAGCTTCAAGGTCCGTGATTGCTCTACACGCAAGCACCAGTGCAGAACCACATGCTGCCTGCAACGGGGATCATGGTGGAAGTTCCTGAAGTACGGTATGTGAGAACAGATCACTATTATAACAAAGGCTTCTCAACCAAAGGTCCACTGGGCCGTCTCGTTGCATCCGCAGAAAGTCAGAACCCTAAATTATAAACCCCAAGTCCAAGCCCCCGATACCCCAAACCCTACTGTCTCTTTGCAGGTGGCCAGAACCCTAAAGCCCCCAAGAACGAATTGCAGTATCCAGGGGCCCTGCAAGTCGGGGACAATGAAAGTCTATGTTTTGAAGACAGCAGTAGATAAGGACTTTGTTGGGCTGCAGCTGGGATGGATACATACAAACAAGTATATGCTCCCCCTGAGCCCACCTTTACACTCAAAAATCGTTATGCATGTGTCCATGTATATATCCATATATATGCATATAGAAATATGTATATATGTATGTATACGTATCTGAGTTGAGTATGTATGTAACCTATACAAAGCATTGCCCCTGTACTTCTTCAAGGCAACAGCTGTCCTCTGTGAAGCCAAGTAGCTCACTCATCTGTTGGGCGGTGGCCCACCCTGTCATTGCGAGAACATGGGTCAAATATGTCCTTGTCATCGGAATTCCAAAGAACCCTGTGTGAGATATGCAAAGCCCTAAACCCTACACCCTAAACCCTACACCCTACACCCTAAACCCTACACCCTTACCCCTATGGTCCTTCCGGGCCCTACAACCTCGGCATCGAAGAGTTGCGCGTATTCTTGGAACTCAGGGGGAATTCATAGGAGCCGAGCATGGAATTGACGTACCAAGCCTCTAAGTTTTATTCCGGCATAGGAGAAGATGATAAGAGTCCGAGAACCTCCCATATTGAGATGCTTATCTGGTCTTCTCCGTGCGAGAAGAAGTTGGTCATGAACATGCATGACGCATGTGCTTCCAGCTGCTGATGGGTAAAGCCAAGACCCTGCCTTCACCGCCCCAAACAAATACAAAACCCAGGCAGGCTGCGTTTATGCTTCAAAAACCCTGCGGCACAAAGACCCCTCCAACTGAACCCTAAAAACCTTCAGCCCCACACCCCTGAACCCCTGAACCGCTAAACCCGAAACCCCTAAACTCGAGCCAAAAGCCTTGGAAGAGGCTGCTCGCAGTTACCTGCGGGCACTGCTTTTCTGCCACCCGTAGTGGCGTTTAGGGCTTAGAGCTTAGGGGTTTTGAGGATATCAAGGTCCAACGTAATCTCCTCCGCTAAATAGGGAAGGGTACGAAAATGGAGAATCAAATGGAAAAAGTGGAAACTAGGTTATATAGTTATGTAAAGGCTAAATAACACGTCTCTCCCCCTAGTGATAAGCTCCCCCCACCCCCCACCCCCTAATCATAAAAATCACCCCACTCTATAATGATTCTTATTTGGACTCCTCGACAGGTACGACACCGGAGGGTTGGGGAGCATTCTGGCAATACATCAACAACTGTTGCCAAGACAACGTTCTTGAGTGTGAAGCCGGTCCTCGCCGTACAAAATCAGAAATACCGCCATACTAAGCAATGCTAGACTCTTGACTCTGAAGCCTAGATGGAGCCATAAAATCCTCAAACCTTCCCTCACCCGCCAACTTTCTAAGGCCTAAATACCCCCTTGATGCACCTCTTTTCGGCCAAATGGAATGTAAGAGCTTTTCAAAACGAGCCTCAGATACGATCTACGGTTTACGGTTTAAGGTGTAGGGTTGGCCCCAATCACTACACTTTGCTCACTTGAATCCCATATACCAGGCATCCCTCAAGGTATCCACGAGTTGAGTAAAGCTTACTCCCTGAAGCATATGTAACTCTATAACCCCGATATGCCGCGCAACACGTACATTGCCAGATGCTAGACAAGCCCGGCAAAAAGGCTTGATCCCCAAACTCTGCCATCCTAATGCCTACACTGACCTCAGCCCAAACCCTTCGCCCCAAACCCCAAGCCCGGAGCCCTAAACCCCAACCCCTCAGCCCGAATCCCGAAGCCCGAATTCCTAAACCTTGACCCCTAAGCCTGAAACCGTAAACCCCTGAAACACAAAATCCTGGAACCCTAAATCCTAAACCCTAATCCCGAAACCCTAAACCTTTAGCCCTGTGCCGGCCCGCCTCTGGCTTCCGCTTTAGGAAATCTTGGCCGCAGGCAACGGCCAGTAGGCTCCAGAATAGGAGGGCATAGTTTGGCATGATCTGGGTAGGTTTTCAGGTTTCAGGATTAGGGATTACACAGAGCTTAGGGTTTAGGGTTCAGGGATTAGGGTTTAGGGTTCAGGGATTTAGGTTTAAGGTTTAGGGATTGGGGGTTAGGGTCGAGGGCTGAGATATTTAGAGGGGGTATGTAAGGTTATGTATAGGGGCAGGGGATTGCAGGAGTTTAGGCTTTCTTTGGTTTAGGGTTAGGGCTTCGTGGGGTTCCATGGGTAGCTATAGCCTATAGTGGATATATACAGGGTTCAGGGTTTTGGCTTGACTGGCTGGTGGAGTAGGGAATGAATGGAAAATTGAAACTACAGCATCCTTGGGGAACATAAACCCCAGAGCCCGAACCCTAAACCCTAAATAGGGGCTACAATCTAATCCATTGCTCCATTCCCTACTAACAATCAGCGAGTCTAAGCTGGAGCGAAGGATGGGCTAGCTACAGTATATGGATCAAGCCATGGTCCACGTACCTCAGGAAAGCTAGTGTCACCTTTGGCTGGTGCATAAAATCACGTGCGCTTCATCTTGCAGAGAATAAAGAACGTGTAATGTAAGCGAGTCAACACGCCTCCGAGCCCACTTGATACAGGGGCCTGGTAGGCTAGAATCGGGCTTGGGGACACATTCTACCCTGAACCCTAAACCCTACACGCTATACCCTAAACCCTATAACCCTAAGCCATGTACCCTAGACTCTAAAGCCCATACCAACAATGCGTCAGGCCTACTAGCGCCTGGCTTCTACAGTAAATCTGAACCCCTGGCTTCCCTGCCAAGCGGCTCAAGCATGAACACTCGAAATATGCAAGGAAAGTTTATGCGGTGATTGAGCAAGCAAGAATACACCCTTCTTGTAGACCAGTGCACCCAAAAGGAGAAGATAGTCTCGCTCTGTTTCTGGGACTGTAGTATCCACCTTGAAACTACTTTATGTGGACCCCCCAACCTGTAGTAGTGGCAAAAAAACAAGATAATAGGACCACTATTACCGTTATATTCACTACTAGTGGGTGGGGGGTCCACCTTTGAAACCACTAGTCTTCCAACCCTTGCCTTAAGTCTCTGCAAGGGGCGATGACGGCCGTCTTTGCGGCGCAAATGGCAGGTGGCTGCTTGTGAGCCCCGCTGCGGTTTAGGGCTTAGGGTTTAGGATCTAAGGTTTAGGTTTAGGATTTAGTAATAGGGCTTAGGATGGCTTAGGGTCTAGGGTTTAGGGCCATGCATCCGCAGTGCGATCTGCAAGCTACGGAATCCCCAGACTCACACGCCTCCACTTGGAGGTTCAGGGCAACCTAGGGAGTAGGCTAGTTACCCTTATGAGCCATGTAAAAATACTTATCCCAAATATGAAACTACTTATCAAGTCCCCCTGACCCTCTAAGCACCATGCCAACAAAACTGGCATCCGCAAACCACCATGCACCCACCCGGCAGAGCTTCACCCGGCAGAGTTTGACAGGGTAGCTGTTAAGGAAATTAAATCAAGTTACTATTATATGGATGTGTAGTAAACAATAGGGTTTCTGTATTCTAGCGGCTTAATCTCAGTTCCTTAACAGCAACCCAGTATTTGAGGGACGCCACGGAAGTCCCGAACTCTGAAATCCTGGGCCTCAAACCTCAGGCAAAATATTGGATCTACCCTAGGTGGACCTCCCACCCAATAAGAAATATCGACCAAACTCTTGAAAGGCTGAGAATTGGCAAGATTGAGGTTTGCTGTCGCGCGTCATGCATGCCATTGCCTTCAAGATTCCGTTTGCCATGTTCATCTAAGCCCTAAACCCTAAACCCGGGTTGTGTTGAAGTGCTGTGATGCCGAAAAAACTCCCACACATGGAGGCTCTCAAAATTGAGGGCCCATGGGGGGTGGGGGTTTAGGGTTTAAGGCTATAAGGGCAACTGCAATATGAATATCCGGCGGTCAGGATGGATTCTGTTGTCAGGCTTAGGGCTCTAAACCCTTATCCCAATATGTTGCTTGAAATCTATATCCGGATATACCCTAATATCCTAACATTCATATATCCCGATATTCCCACTATATCCCAACATTCAAATATGCCTATATACCCTTACATATCCCAACTTATCCAAATTTCTAGGACCAAAGCCTAAACCCTAAACCGTAATCCCGAAACCGAAGTCCAACAATTCAGGGTTTAGGGTTTAGGGTTTAAGGGTTTAGGGTTTAAGTCCCTAAACCCTAAACCCTATTAAGGGTCTAGGGTTTAAGGGCTTAGTCTGCAGTCCGCTCCTG